ACTAGGATTTTGCTTGGAAGGAGAAGAAAAATACTTTATATAGGAATTCGTGGTCAATGAAAGCGCTGATTACTTTCTATTTGGTTAGTGTCAATCTTGATATATTGGCTGCCCATAAACATGAATTCACCCAAGAAATATAATTTCTCAATTCCTATTTTTAATGAATGGCCTTTTATCTTTTCATAGACTTGGCCTTTAAAACTCGAGTGGGCGAGTGTTAACAGTCAATGCTAATTATTAACACGATTCACTCTCTTAATGAATGTAAAGATCCAGAAAAATGGCAACTGTTGGATTGGTCTATACATTACAAAATCATAGGAGGAATAGCACGTAGAATAGTTTTACCTTCATGAAAACTCTAGCATATGACTTATACATAGGGATCTCAAAGCTAGTAATATATTATTAGGTGGAGATGTGAACCCAAAAATATCGGATTTTGGCATGGTGAAAATTTTTGGCGTTGATCAATCTCAAGGAAATACAAGGAGGATTGGCAGGACATAGTAAGTTTTACTTAACATTTGTTGTGTGTATCTTCATTAATCTTGACTTGTATATGATGTGGAATAGGTTAATTATCACATTTTTTGCCAACCCAAGAAAGACACGTACACAGCTGAATTACAATAAAAAAAATATTTTGGCAGTTTGGTAGAATATTTTTTATTTCTTTGAATGTAGCAGTAGGGACTGTTTTGAGGGCGGCCGAGGGTGAGGAGGTTGAGCCGTTTAGGGGATTGTGCTTCTAAATGTTGAGGAAATTCAGGATTGGAAGTGTATTTTGTGGCTTGAAATTGGGGCTTTTTAGGGTTTTCGATTTGCTAGCTGTTTAGTGTTTGAAATTGGGGCTTTTAGGGGATTGTGCTTCAATATTTCTCCAGCCGTTTTGTGAATTTTTGTGTTTTGGGTGTTGACATTTGAAATGGGTTTTTATGATTTATGTTTTTGTGGATCTGTATTAGATACATGCTGAAAGAATGAGCATCGATTGATGTGCGCTGGGGAGATCTGCACTGCTGCTGAGAGGGATCGCTATGAGAAATCGGTATTAATTTTGGTTATCATTTTATTTTTTGTATTTTACATTTTCTTGGGGTGGTTTGATTAGTATTTGTAAATGATAATGTTGAAAGTAATTTTAATGTAGGTGAAAATTTTATTGTTAATTACTGAAATGCTAGTTTGTTTTGTATGAAGAATAGAATAAATTTAGTGTTCATTGTTTATAAACGTTGAGAATTGAGAGGCTTTGCTTAAAAGCCAAAAAGAAGCCGTTAAAAGCAAGGTTAAACTTGCTCTAGATTCTCTGTCTTTAATGTAATTGTATAATTTGTATGGTTGAAGTATATCTTGTATAAATAGATTGGAGTGAAATTGGGTCAATAACTTGTACCATCTCCTCTTACATTTGCTTGTTCTGTCCAAAAAACAAGTGTTTAATTTACAAAATTCTTGACAAATAGTCTTTTCCATAGTTGAGCTGTGAGGCTGTCCGACTAATTGGAACTTATAGAGGAGAAGGTGGCATTATTTTGTTTCTGTTTTTGTCATTTCCGATAAGGGTTTTGCATGTGGTGGCTGGGGGTAGGGAAATTTTCAGGAACAAATTAAAGCAAAGTTCTCTTCTATGCCTACTTTTGGCCTCAATAAATTTTTGGGGACATTGTTTATGGCTTTAAATTCGTGATTAAAGGAAGTTCATAAAAATGTAGCAACACAACTGTATCGCTTGTTGAATGGAATGTGAATTTAGGAGAAAACCAAGAAGATCCAAAGAAATTCTGGAAAACTATCCAAGTAAGTTTCTTCATTTCAGTCTTTCAAATGCTACAAGACCTTTGGTTAATGTTCCAAGTAAATGAGTGAATTATTTAATTGTTACTCATGTATGCTTTGATGTTCTTTTCCAGCAAATAATGGCTGTTCAGTATAGGATCCCTGCTCATGTCCACATATCTCAAGATTGTAGGCACCTCCTTTCTCACATATTTGTTGCCAATCTAGCTCGAGTATGTATTCTATCGATGGATTACACTTGTTGGAGAACTCATGTCACATTTAGTGTATGCTTTACCATTCATCTTTTTTAAGTAGTGACATAAGCTGAGCCATTTTTTTAACTTTAATATTGATTGTCAACATCACAAGTGGGCTTTGTAATGTTCCATTTAAGATTTCATAATTAGATTTCAGATTACAATATGATTTTCTTGGTGCAGAGGATCTCAGTCAAAGATATTAAGACACACCCATGGTTTCTGAAGAATTTTCCGAGGGAATTAACTTATGCAGCTCAAGTAGCATACTACAGGAAAGAAAACCCGACCTATTCCCTTCAAGGTGTGGAGGAGATCATGAAAATTGTTGATGAAAATTGTAGTAGTAAATTTAAATAGTTATTCAATTTTTTTTTTTCAAATTTGCGACGGCAATAGTGACGAAAAATCCGTAGTTAATTACTAACGCACCTAAACCCATAGGTAATTTGCGACGGAAAATTGTAGCTAATTCTGTCGCTAATTAGCTACAATTTTATCCATCGCTAAACACCGACGGAATATTTCCTCGCTAATTACCAACGGACAAATAATTTCGTCGGTAAAATTATCGGCGGACGTTTTGTCGACGGATTTACCAACGAAGAAAATCCGTTTGTGAAAGTCTTTAGCGACGGAATTTAAGGTTTCAGAGACGGAAATTTCCGTCTCTGAGTGTTGGTAGCCATTTTTCAGATCAAAGAATGTATATTTTGCCTGTTAGAAATCAAATTCAGCCAACTTTTTTTACTTTCCCTCTCACAATCGTCGTTTGTGACTTTTTCAACGGTCATTTTTTCCTTCTTTTTTTGCTGAAAAATGGCTACCATAAATTTTGATATTATTTTGAGAAAATTACACCATTGTTCTTCAACTTGTAGAGCATAGAGCTAATTTAAAGAATTCCAAGGTTTTGAATCAAAAGTCTATCCAAGCCTTTATAAGAATAAAAAATTTAGAGAAATAAATAATTCTTTTTAAATTTTAATTTCTTATCTCCTGAAGCGAAAATTTATTTATTAATTCTCAATTTACCTAATAAATTGTTTCCAATTGACAACATAGCTCTCACATTCAACTGTAGTGCACTTCATCTCACAAGTACACCGTTTGAATTAATAGAGAATATTTCTTCTTATTTTATTCCAATCCTTTCTCAATAGTTTCAAAAAAAAAAATCAATTTGAATTCTAAATTGACGAGTTAGCGTGAAAGGTTGTCGTTTGTAATTAAAATCTATTTTTCACTTAAATTATATATGTTTAAAATAAAATTATTTACACGCATTATTAATGTCTCCGATCTTCAAAAATATGTTTGTTCAATTACTAGGAAACTAAAACCTAAAATTATAAGAAAATTCCAAATTCCTTGTTTTTGTCGTGGAAGATCTTATATGAATTATAAAAATAATGAATAATTAAAGATAGTATTTGAATATAGCTATTTTCTTATACAAGTCCTCGACCTGATACTTTTTCAACTTCAGTTCCCAACTTCAACTTAGATGGATTTTTCTTTCTTTCTTTTTTTTTTTGTTTGCTGTTTTTTCTTGTTTGTAGAGAAGGATAAGATCGTCATTTTGATAATTTTTGAATTTTTAATCGGGTAATCATACTCACACCATGACTACAATTATTTCTTAAGCATAAAGGGATTCGAGAAATATTTCAAGATAATATAAAAGAAGCAATGAGTTGGATTAGGCTTGCTTAGTGTTAGGCGTTTTCAGTTCAGTAGTGCTTGTACCTATCGAACTTTTAGGTATTTCTCAGATGGTTAATAAAAAAAACAAAAATGTTGAAATAATATGGAACCTTTGTCTCAAGGGCGCATTAAAGCATTTGTGGACCCAGCTGAGCATTGGCACAACAAGGCTTGGCAGGTCTATAAACTTTTATTTTTGGATACATTTGAAAAAATTGTACGATTTTAAAAAATATTTATTAATACAATTCCACAACGCAGAACTCGTGCTTCCCTACCACAATTAGAGTGTAGAGGTGAGCCTCCCCACTCTTCATGCCTCAGGGGTCAAGTCGTGCATTTCACGTAACAATTTGTCTCAATTCTATGAAATCTCATACATTATGACTTTTCTAAGTTGAATGGTGAAATATAGGTTGCAAGCTTAATTGAGCCTACATAGTCTGATATTAGAAA